CCAGAACCTCTTCTCTATAGGCATAGGAGACATCTTTTCTACCCAAGCACGGAAGTTGAGAATTTCATCAAAAACTTCCATAGATGTTGAAAGGTTGGGTATTTTATTATAACTAGTCATAAGGTACGCCCGTTGCGCGTGTATCCATGTCAATGAATATAAATTTTTTAAAAATTACATAAATATTATATTATATTCCCTAAATTATAAAATAAAATTAAATGAAAGCCTTTGTGCTTTTAATGCTTTATAAATAGATGGATAGATAGATAGATAGATAGATAGATAGATAGATAGATAGATAGATATTACAACATAAGCACAATCTATTCAATTTTAAATTTCTAATATTAGGACTCCTACAAAATTCACATAGAAAAATTTAATAAAAATTTTAGGTAATTAAAAGTCTTAAATATTAAAAAATTAAAAAAATTTAATTTATAGTACATTATTAGGTCTTTTTTGGAATAAAACTTGTTCAACAAACAGCTTTGTGGAATCACATAATTATAATCTTTGTACCTCGTTTGTTTTATATGTCATTCACGTAATGATACATTCTTCTAGAAAACAATACAGAATACCAAATACATTATCTATATATTCTATACGCATTTATTAATACATTATTACTATTATTACTTTTAGTTAAAAAAAATAGCATTTATTCTTGTATCATATATACAAATACATTTTAAGAGCTATTTCAATCCTAGTTATTGATATTTAGGATTTTGAAGTCAATAATTACAAAATTATTTAAATTCACAATTGGATATTTTCTAATGCTATATGAATTTTACAAACACTAAAATAAATAAGTGAATGAAACAAAAGCTGAAAATAAGAACAAAATCTCGTCGTTGACATAAATGAGATCTTTCACCCGTTTCCTTTCAATCTTTCTTTTTTATATTTTTTTCTCTTTAATATAATACTCCTAAATCTGAAAGGAGTTGAAAGTAAAAAACTTTATTAACGAAATAAACCCTTACAAAGTGGACGAAACTTTCCTAGTCTGGATTGAAAGTGCAGGATTCTACAATTAAAAAATTAAAATCCTAAATATTTAGAAAATAATTAAATGACTACTCCTAAATATTATAGACATAATTAAATAAATAGTCCTACATATTAGGAAAATAATTAAATGACTATTCCTAAATATTAGTAAAATAATCTAATGACTATTTTATCCAATGTGAACTATATTTTAAAAGGGTAAAAAAGACGAACGACATTTAGTTAAGGGCCTTCGTGCTTTTAATATAGTATAGATAGATAAAGTTTTTTGAGACATTACAAAAACAAAAGAGAAAACTTACGTGCAAAATTTCATTTCTCTACGAAAGACATGTTTTCTTCGCCCACTAACCCTCTAGTGAGAGAAGCAACAAACCGAGCATACTAGCCACGATCTCGATCATCTTCAGGGCTAACCAAAACTCTCTTACTTCTAGCCACGACAGAAAAAACACCTTCATTAAACAGCTTAGGGGAGTATAAGTGAAGCAAGTGCCGAAAAGCAAAAGGCACGGAAACCAGTTCTGCCAAATAACGAAGGCATGCAACAACACTCTATACTATAGGGTTAATCTGGCCAAGAAATACGTTGAAGTAACGACAAACTCAAGGATCACCGGGTCAATCGGGGGTTTGAACCCTAGAGTGAAAGGGTAAGTATAGATGAAAGAGAAACCAGCATAGTAAGAAGTAATTCTCTGGTTGGCACCAGGAGCTAAAATTGGGAAATTAGGTTTCCAATAACATTCTCTTCGAACAAGAGAAAGAAGACCAGTAGTAATCAAACTTGGGTAAAGGTCAGCACGATTGAGGGAAGCTATGGAAGAAACTTGGCTCCTTATAGATTCACGATCAGTTACAAAGGAATTGTTGAGGAACAATTTCTGCAACTGTAGATTCACGCATCGCTTTAGTTGAATCTCTATTTCTTGAAGAAGATCTAGGGGTTATAGGAGCCCTAGGTCTAGAGAAAAACGGATTAGTAGCACTACTTTGAGAAGAGGAATCACGGTTAGATATAGAACCAAGACTATACAGCCTACCACCCCTTCTACTTCTAGTGGGAGCATTAGAAGAATCAAACTCGTCAATAATTACAACTTTACAGGGATCTGGGGAAGACATGATTGTCCAAAGAAGAACATGAAAAATGCAGAATAGTGTAAAACAAGAAGACGGAGGTGAATATGAAAGAAGAAAGGCTTCAAGAAATAAAAAAAGAGTGGAGTATTTATAAGAAGACACGACCATTAGGTCATTATGAAGCGTCATAATAGAACCGACACTTCGTGACTGATGTGGTTGCAGAAAAGCCCTAAAAAGCGTTGTGGAACTGCAGAACCAATCGAAAGAAGCCGCGTGGCATGATCATTAAATGGATATGATATGCATCGCATCAGTTTTGAAGGCATGATTGTATTCGAAAAATGGCAGTAGAGAATTTCCGCCATAAAAACTTTTCACTTCCGAATATTCAGTAGAGAATGTTCAGAAAGTGGGGGGACTATCAATATTGGTGGTGACATGGCGTTACATGTGGAATATTGGGATGCTGACATAGTATGACACGTGGAACAGTGATATAGCAACAAGTGGCATTCTCAATTGATAGAATTAGTTGAGAAAAGAAGGCATAGGGAGAAACACCCACGAGACGGTACGAAGAAGAGAACCAGGCCTAACAATTGACAAAGAATAGACGAGGACGGAATGAATAAAGAACAAAAAGAAGGAAAGGTACATGAACCAAAAGTAAATAAGGAAAGAGAATCAGAATAGTTATAGGGTATTTATAGCAATAAATATGCCAGTTATAGATATCCTAGATAATGGGCAATCAATATCATTAATGCCCATAATAAAACCAAATTATGTGGGAAAAACCGTTACAATTGTACATTCATATATAAAGGCACATAATTTTATATGTAAGAACAGATCTCAAGCACTATTGAAATATACTCTTTTACTTTCCTGCCTTCTCGAAATTCTCTGTCTTGATTTTACAATTTGACCATCAATTAGTTCTTTTGTCATTCTTATTAGGGCAAATACATATACAGCCCATTCAACTTGGCACCATTTTTCATTTTGGCACTCTATCTCTGCCTTGTTCCATTTTGGCCCTTCAACTCTATTTTATATGTTCCATTTTGGCCCTCCAACTCTATTTCTTATGTTCCACTTTAACACAAAAGCTAAAACCAGTGCAAAAAATATAGCGTGTGTGTATACACAAATCTGAGGTGTAATAAATATCCAATTAAATGTTGTCACCTGATTTTTTCATCCATATCAAACGGATCAATACTAGAATACCTGAACCCGACCATATTTTTGTGGTTTATTTCATCTAATCGGGCCAGTATGAAATCGACAGATGAAAGGTTTGGAACTTAGAGAATGAAGATGGGGCAATAGTGGATGAAAAAATACGGTCGGGTTCGGGTATTTTAGTACTAACCCATTTGGCATGGATGAAAAAATAAGGTGACAACATTTAATTGGATATTTATTACACCTCATATTTGTGCACTATATTTTTTGCACTGGTTTCAATTTTTGTGTTAAAGTGGAACATAAGAAATAGAGTTGGAGGGCCAAAATGGAACATATAAAATAGAGTTGAAGGGCCAAAATGGAACAAGGCAGAGTGAGAGTGCCAAAATGAAAAATGGAGCCAAGTTGAATGGGCTGTAGATGTATTTGGCCTTCTTATCATTTTCCTTAAATATCATCGTGAAAGTGAGGTAAAACTTGGTTATCAGTAACCCGTTTTCTTCTAATTCAAATTTTGATCAAGAACATATTTTTCGGTTAATAAACTCATGAGGGGGAGCAAATAGGAGAGTAAAACTCTCGAGAAGGAAACACGTGATTTCTTCTTATTTTTAATCTTTTAAAGTTTTTCCCTCTTAAACCCTCATTCATCTAACATGAGCTTCCTAATGTATTCTATACTTTGAGGTTATAAAATAACCAAAAATCGTAGAAGATTAGATTTTAAAAACAGAGTTTTTTAAAATTTAAAAATAAACTGATAAATACACATATATAAAATAATAGAGAAGGGCCTCGGGAGTGAGGGGAGGGGGGGGGTAGGGGGGTAGTTGCGAGGTCCAATCACTCAACGTTCTTCCCTCTCTCTCCTCCC